GATAAAATTACCAAAGATAAGAGAAGATAAGAAATAGGGCGCCACTTAACTTTTTGCAGTTACAAGGGGAAAATTAAGAATCCTTAGAAACGAAAAGAGATAAGGAGAGATAATTAGGTTCTAGGACCAAATATTTATTAAATAAAGGTGGTCAACACACTACATAAACAAAATAATAAATATGTTTGGTGGAATTCGTCCACCTACTTACCTACAAACATAAACAGCCTGATCTTTCTCCTGGCCGAAGATATCGTGAAAGTTAAATATTTTTATTAGAAAATATTCAGAGATACTCTATTATCAGAAAACTTATTAGGAGTAGATAAGTAAAATTCAGTAGGTAACCAAAACAAAATATATTCAAAAACTAAATCACCAGACGGGTAAATTCCGAAAACAAGAAATACAAATAAATCTACCGTAACATGTAAAAAAATGTAAAATCTTTTAATATAATAGACATAAACACATGCACATATTAATAAAATATAACATTAAGGACAACTTGATGTTTTTAAAAAAATTTCAAAGGAGATCATATAAATATCTCTCGTTAATATTTAAGGCTTATCTCGAGATACCTGGCTTTAAAAGTAATAATTTATAGGAAGTAAAAAATAATACTAAATTAATTAACAATAAAGTTGCAAAAGTATAGAGACAAGATTATAAAAATCGGGTTTACCAAAAAAATTAAATAAAAACCAAACCGCACTTGGTTTACACGAAGCTACTCGCACAGTTTTTATTTAAATAATGTATGTTTGTAATTAGTATTTGTTAATGAAAAGATATGAAAGTTAATGAAAGTTCTGAAAAGTGCAATAATTGATGAAATCGTTGTTCCTTAGAGGAATTGATTGCATCGGTAGTTAGCTTTAACCACCGATCAGGAAAATATTGACGATAGCCCGTAGATTACTCTAACAAATCAAAAGCAAAAAAGAATCTCTCAGGGCTAAAAATAATTTTTATCTTTTTTTTTTAATTAAAACGTGGCTTCAAAGTATCTTCTGCTAGTTCCATTCAAGAAAGATCAACAAAAGGAAAAAGAAATAATATTATCAATATAATCAATTCTGATATTAAAACAATTGTCCTTTATTTTAAAATATATCCAATTAATTTAAAATTCCGTTGAGGATAAATCTTACACCATACACTATAAAAAATAATCAATCATCCATCAAATCAGACATCCCTTAATGCTCTATAAAAATTAAATACACATATTTCTAAACCAAATATCTCTTAATATAAAAATTTTAGAAAGAATTATTGGTTCCTTGACTTCTTGCCTTAACTATAAAAATATTGCAAATTACAAACAATTGACATGAATGTTGATAGATGGTCGTTATAGAATGTCTTAATAGAATTTATTTTAAAACTCAAAACTTTGATTTTCAAACAGACTATCTTCCCTTGATTCTGCTTAGATTGTGCCCTGACCAGATCGCAATGTACTTCCCGGATCCTACCAATTTCCCTGCTCCTTATTCCGCCCACTGTTTCTTTTGATAATAAAAGAAAAAGACAAACAGTATGTGAAAATGTCGTGATGTCTTTACCACAAGCTCCAAACTCCAAGACGAACAAACTGCTTCCTCTCAGACACAACGAAAATATATCTGTTTATACTTACAGTAATGCCTCTATTTCTACTGGAACTCGTCTCTGCTTACCACACTGGCTGCTTAATTTTCCACACAAACACTAAACGCTACTTCTTATAAATTGTCAAAAAAAAAAAATGTTTTCACCGGAACCGGTCTCTCTCGATGTTCAACTCACAATGTCTTTCTTTTCCCTCATTTCATTCCCGACAAGCTTTTCACCCCCTTCTTCTTTATCCATCTCAAACCAATCCAAACAAACCTCCCCTCTCATCAAACGCATCATCGGTTTCTTAGTCCATTAAATTTTTGGTTTTTCCAAAAAGTACATGACGTTAAAGTACTTTCCTGCAAACGACCTTGAATTCCTTTTTTTAACTTATGTAAAGGAGAAATCTCATTAACCAATAATCCTTACTTATTACTTTCTAATATATTATAACCGCAAATTTCAAATAGTTGTGTACTAAATCTACCTGGTCATGTCCAAACCGTATTGTCTTTTTATCGGAGAAAACTTTATAGATCACTCATTTACATATTCGGAAACCACTCACGTTGTTCCCTGTAAATGGTTTATGATTTTAATTTTTTTTTTTTTTAATTTGGGGATCTTATTAATATATATATATATATATATATATATATATATATATATATATATATATATATATATACCTATATATATATATATATATATATATATATATATATATATATAAATATATATACCTATATATATATATATATATATATATATATAATATATATATATATATATATATATATTGTAGTTTTGAGTTTCTTGAACCGTATTATATTTAATATAAAATTAATGTTTCTTGGGTTTAGGTTCAATAAAGATATGGTACATGTGGAACTAGATTTTATTTTCCATTGTAATCAATCAACGTTTCGGCAGGAAACCCTTGCCTTTGTCAAGATTCTAAAATGTGTATATATACACATATTCTAAAATGTGTACATATATACACATTTTAGAATCTTGACAAAGGCAAGGGTTTCCTGCCGAAACGTTGATTGATTACAATGGAAAATAAAATCTAGTTCCACATGTACCATATCTTTATTGAACCTAAACCCAAGAAACATTAATTTTATATTATATATATATATATATATTATATATATATATATATATATATATATATATATATATATATATATATATATATATATATTGAGATAATTTTTAATATAGGAGAAATGAAGGTAATCTAAATTGAACTTAAATAGTTATTAAAGAAATAATTTATAAGTTATATACTAGAGAATATTATTAAAAGTATTTATATGAGGGTGTTCATAAGAAATTAGCATAATAATAAGTTCAAATAGTTTTTATTTTGCAATGAATTTGGTTATTTCAATAATTCTAATGTTATGAATATATTTAAGTGCACCATCTAAATAGGCAACCAAATTTACTTAAAAAAATAATTTTTATTTTTATTTTAATAATAGATATATCTGAGTGCGCCATATTTATAGGCAACCAAATATACACTGAAGTGAGTTTGGGTTATTATGACATGTAACATGTAAATAAGAGTGAATTTGAACAGCAAGTAGACATTTAAAATGATAATTACGAATTTGTAATACGAAAGTATTATATATAGATATATATATATATATATATATATATATATATATATATATATATATATATATTATATTATATATATTATATTATATATTATATATAAATACGAATTTGTGTTACGAAAGGTACTGAGTTTTTTCTCTGGTGGTGGAAATTACACAAGAAAGCCCTGACATTAGTATTTCCACCACCAGAGAAAAAACTCAGTACGTTCTGCTCGATTATATATACAGGCAAAATAACAACAAAAATTGCCAAACACATAAAAAGAAAGGAATAACACCAGCTTTCCGAACAAATAACAACCTAGGCAAATATATTAAAAATAACAAGAGCCAAAATAAAAAACACTTAAATAGTGGTGTGTACAAACTTCAATGTGGCGACTGCCCAAAAACTTACATCGGTCAAACTGGTAGAAACTTTGATAAACGAATAGCAGAACATAAAAGGGCTTTCAAGAATAGAAAAACAGATTCGACATACGCACTTCGCCTTCTAGATCATAATTATTCTTTTAATGACAAATTTAAAATTCTTCACATTCAAAATAAAGGCCTTAAGCTATCTTTGTTAGAATCTATGGAAATCAACAAATTAAAAAACACAGATATAATTCTGAATGACCAACTTGAGACAAATAGTTCTCCCCTCCTCAACCTATTTCATTAGAGACTATAAATTTGTAAACCCAAGCCAAAATAGATCACTTGAGAAAGGCAATCAGCCGAAACAGCTGTAGTGATAATATTTAAAATAAATTTTGTGGAAGTTTGAAAACAAAGTTTTCAGTGTTTTATTGTTACATACAGGAAAATGTTCATGCAGTGAACCAAGATGTTGAAAATTTTTAGTCATTTGCGGAAATCCTACACGTGGTTCACCAAAATAGGTTTGCACCTTTTACATCTTATGCTATTGAACTCCAGAGTATTTTACGGCCAAGCCCATCAAAAACAAGTTTTAATGTATAAATATACATAATTCTGCTACCCGGGATACTTCTAAAATATAATAAGGGATATCGAGAAATAAATGATAAAAAAAACTCAACCTACTACATCTAGGAAACCGTTGCATGCAATGGCCGATTTTCCAAAAGAAATTGGAAAAAAGGGGCTCTACGTAAAGTTTGTGTAATTTGTAAAAGACGTGGAGTGCGTAAACTAACGAGAAAATGTTGCATTGCTTGCCCCGGACAAACCTGGACTTTGCTAAGCGGAACATTTTGAAAGTTTTCATAAGTTATAAAAATAATGTTCTTTTATTTTTTGCTTTGTTCTGAATATAATTAAGTTGTTCACTGTCTATTTATATATGTTTTATTTTTTAATATTTGGCATGACTTTATAAATTAAATACATTTTAATGATATCTAGATGTGGATATTTTGGTATTACAATTGATATCCAAGGGTGGATATACTGGTACACCCAAATATCCTTATATGGATATTCTGGTAAACACTATAAAAATTGTCATATAAATTCAAATTGCTTCAAACATTTTTTGGCCCCCATGGAGAATATCTCTTCTATTATACATCATAACTATCATAAAATGTAATTTCATCAAAAAACTTTTGCTTATATACAGCTCCCTACGTCAAAAAATGGCCTGAGGCGGTAGGGGTTAATCTAAAATTAACAGCATATACAGAAAAGTATACAGAAAAATCAAATATTTATCAAAAACATAAATGAAAACTAAAAGCAATACAACAATTTTATTTAACAATTATATTTTATTTTCAGGTCTCTTAGATTATTTTTTAGTGACAATAGTTGCACATGTGGACAACTCGTCGTAGCTTCCAGAGAATCTCAGTACAAGATACTCCACTTTCACCACGGCGGACTGGATCATTTGGCACAAGTTTTGCATCAGTGGCATTCCCTGCTGCATACAATTAAGTTAGCCAAAGGTTTGTAGATACTTTGAAATTAACAACTGACTCCAATCGTTTAAATAATGCCGCGGTTAGTGTTCTAGATTAGAAGAGAGTTGCTCAAAACAAGATAGCTAAAGTTCTTTGATTCGAAACTCATTAACTATGCTACTCGCATCTATGGTTTTTTACCAATAACTTTCACATTGACCCCATTTTATGTCTAGATATATTTATTCTTCCATGAATGGATGATGACCATAGAAAATGTAATATTTTTAGTAAAATGTAAAGTATCCCGTTTTGCGACCCTAATTGAGTAAAATGGGATAGTGTTTTAATATGAAGAAACAGTGTATACAGAAAATGATATTTATTGAATTTAGAACCAGAACAAATTGCTCGTCTTTCATTAATAATAAAAAGAAATGAAAATTTTTATCCCAAAAAAATCTCGACTCATCATCGTTCTTCACTCCAGGGCAAACTCCGTGAGCCAAACGATGACCATCCTGTTACACAACTCAATCATCTTCAATCTCAGATATAGAGTATAACTCTGTGGAATAAATGCAACTTGCGTCATTGTCCTCCTCTTCTTATGAACTACTGTCTCTTTTCTTTAATTTTCTTTGGTTAGTCACCTTTATTATTTTTTTCTTTAGTATTTTCTACTTGGTTATACTTTGGTTTTCTTCCAAGTTTACCTTGGGCTTTTTAATGGACTTTTTTTCGATTCATGCTACGAATTCTTCATTGTAAGGTGTTGAACTTAGTACTGCCGTTTTTGTCTCTTTTTATCTTCAGCATTTAACCTCTAAATTTTTGATGCGGGTGGCATGTCCGTCCAACAGTAAGATAGCAAATTGTTATATGGATGCATTGAAAAACTCAATAAAATTATTTAAGCATTTCGAAAAAATCGTCTTTTGCGTCCATGCTGACAAATAATAAAAAGCTTTTCTTCCAGGACAAGCCTCATCTAGCAGCTCAGGCTTGGCTCTGGATCTTGGAAAATGAAATTAGGCGGCATAAATGCACCAGTTGACCTCATGCAAATTTCCTGAGTGACGAGAACGCCACGTTCTGCTGAAGATATACACCAAGCTTGTTTTTCTCACGCAGCGATAAGCATTTTGATCTTTTCTTTTGAACTGTCATTATACCCGTTTGATCGCAGTTATAAATCCGTACTGCGGGTATTTTATATTTTTTGAGCACGTCAGAAAGCAACGAAAAAAATTTGTTGAAAAAAAAAGATGTTAACTCAGGTGATGAAGTTTAACATTTGGATTCACAAGGAAATGAATTTCCTCTAGTCGGCTGTATACTAAAAATCACAAAAAAATTATTTAAAAGATCATTTCTAAAAAGGTATATTTATTTAAAAAGAACCCTTTTGGACTACATCACAGAAAGTTTTCGGAACGAAATTCCATCATCAGTGCTCTTACTAGATATACATACGTGAAGCCACTAAATATATGGGTAAAAATTCGTCACTAACTATTATTGAATATGTTATATATTACATTGTTGCTGATAATTTTATATGATATAAAAGTTTTAAGCAAATTTATTTCATGACAACGTAAATCTCCCAACTGGGGTTCCTGGCCGAGTAGTCGTCTCTATATGGACCTTAAGTAGCAACTGGTGCTACCTAAGTTTGTTTTTTGGCACTCACCACAATAACAAGGTAACAGTAATCTCCACTTGTTACGTTCAGGCAAAGGCTATTTCTGGCGGTTACGACCGTAATTCGCTAGATCGTTCAAAATCACAAGTCTTGAAAATTTTGCTTATTTTAACAAAGGCTGCTACTAGCCTTTTCTATTCGTTGTTTAATTTATAATTTCAAGTGAATGAGCATATTGATCGTTTATACGAGGGTAGATTGATATAAAACTAGCCTTTGATAGAAAAAACAAGTATTTTGGAATTAAATCGATTTATTTCTCAACATAGTCCCTTTTTAGCTCGATACACTTAGTAAGACAAAGTTCAAATTTTTTTATCCCATCCGAATATTATTTTTGCTCGAGCTCTTCGAAATAAGCCGAAGTTTTAGCGACGACTTCATCATTTGTTGCGAAACGGCCTCCTCCGAGCCATTTTTTGGTTTGGAAACAGGAAAAATCGCTGGGGGCAAGATCTGGGGAATACGGTGGGTGTTCAACCAATTCATAGCCCAATTCGTGTAATTTTGTCATGGCGACGGCCGATCGGTGAGCCGGTGCATTGTCTTGGTGAAAGAGCACTTTTTGCGTTCCAAACCGGGGCGTTTTCGATTCAATTCGGCATCGAATCGATCCAATAATGCTGCATAGTACTCACCATTGATTGTTTTTCCTTTTTCCAAGTAGTCAATGTGGATGCCCAGAAAACAGTCGACAACACTTTGCCGGCCGAATGTGCACTCTTTGCCTTCTTCGGCGTCCCTTCGCCTCATTTGCACCACTGTTTCGACTGTTCTTTGGTTTCTGGTGTGTAATAATGCACCCAGGTTTCATCAACGGTGATAAATTGGCTTAAAAAAATCCTTCGGGTCGCGCCGTATCATCGCCAAAAGCGTCTTCGAAGTGGTCACACGTTTTTGCATTTGATCGATTGTCAAAAAACGCGGCACCCATCGCGCGGATATCTTTTTTATATCGAAATGATGGTAAATGATGTAGTTTACGCGTTCGTACGAAATGTTTAGGACCTCTATTAATTCGCGGAACTTAATTCGACGATCTGCCATAATCATGTTATGGACTTTGTTGATCATTTCCGGCGTGGTGACTTGACGTGAGGAACTTAATCACCGAACGATACTCGACTTTTTCCATTTCTCCGAAAATACAAAATTTGCTTGCTTTTGACGGCTGTAAAAACCAAACTAATTGTTTTTAAAACTTAAAATTTTGACAGACGTCATGTCATAAACGGCAAATGTCAACACCGAAACCAATTCGGTATCAAGTAGCGCCATCTATCAAAGGCTAGTTTAATATCAATCTATCCTTGTATTAGTACCCAAATAAACGTCTCGTTAACTTGTGTTGTTTACTTTAAATTGATTAATAATTGGCGGTGTATGGTTTTTACATCACATTTGTTTTTTTTTTAATCCTAAAGTTAACGCCGTATTCTCTACTCGTTTTTGCTACCTTAGTAACTAGTTTCATATTATCTATGAAGATGATTGTGTCGTCTACATAATTTGAGATGATTCAGATGTTCTTTATTTATTAGTGCACCCTCATTGATGTTTTTCAGGTCTGCCTTAAATACTTCTTACAAGATATTTAAGGTAATTGGATTAAACGCATCCCTGTCTGATACCTGTATATATTTTTGTAATTTTTGTTTTTTTTTATATTTTTTTCTACATGTTCAAATCAATCCGATTCCCGACACCTCTTTCGTTTTTTTTTTGACCAATTCAAATTGTCCTATGACCTTACTATATTTTTCATTTCCAACCTTGGCGTTACAATCTTCTTGTACTACTCCGATTTTATCTTTAAGAATTTTTAGTAGAAATACTCTCAAGTAATTATAAAACTCGTCTATAACTTCTTCAAAATTATCAGCTGTTGAAGCATATATGAATAATGTTCATCTTTGATTGGGAGTTTATTTGCCTAATGATTATTCTATCTGTCCATGCAGTCAAACTATTTAAAAATTCGGCTATAGGTTTGTTCGACATTATCCCAACTCCATGTATGCGATTTTAACTTATTATGTCAATACATGGAAGTAAAAATTGCTATTTTAAAATGGGAAAAAATACATGGTGGTTTTCCGTTGCCGTTCATGCGTAGTAACATAACCTTTCTGTTGATCCAACTGTGCTTATGCATTTTTTACTGTTAGCCTCGTCTCTATTATTTCATTTATTTTATGGCTAACCTCGTAACTTGTATTGCTAACTGCTGCTCAACCTAAAACCTTAATTAAATCACTCACTAATCTGCGTTACAAAACAGGATTAAAACATGGGAGCAACAGAACTTAACAAAATGTACAATTTCCCTGATATTTAAATTAAAATTATGGATTACTATGTTTTCTTTTTTTTAAATACCCTTGAAGAAACAATTAATATATTTTTAGGTTTAGACGATACTCTACCATACCGTCATTTTATGGTATGCAGACCGGAAGTATCATTGTTAGAATTGCATCCCGAGGAAGGACAAGTGCCTAAGCTCACAGAAGAAACATTTAGGGGTTTATTTAATGAAACTGGACAGTTAGAAGATGATCTAACTTTAAGGAAGTATGTATTTTTCTCGGGAATGGATAGGAATATTAGAAAAGAAGTATGGCCGTTTTTATTACATGTATACCCCTATTTAAGTACGTTTGAAGAAAGGATTCAGATTGCCGAAATTAGGAGACATGTAAGTTAAATATACCTATTTATACTTATGTTTTTTTAAAAAAAAATTTCACACAGTGTTTTTCAAATAATACAGAGCCACCAAAAAATTCGTAAAGTGAGCAGGTCTGGGGAAACGCTTTCCTTCTTTTAGATGGTTAATTAGTTTTTCATGACCTTTTTAAATTACGATTTTTTTTTATTGTTCTCTGTATAAACTAGTAACAAAGTTAAATTACTGTTTTTCTAAATTATAGGAGTATGAAGAAATAAATAGGAGGAGGTTAGAGCTAAATGAAAATAAGCTACATCAATTTAGAAGAAAAATACAAAGTGTTGTAGAGAAAGATGTAGTTCGGACTGATAGAGGAAATCCATTTTTCGCTGGAGAGAACAACCCTAACCTTGAAGTTATGAAGAATATTTTGTTAAATTATGCTATTTACAATTCAGGATTGGGGTGAGTACAAAAAGTTATTTTTTCGATTTAGCAATTTATCAAATTTTGGTTAAATAGGCAATTTTTAGTAGTCAATATCTTTTTTAAAACTACTATAAATTTTAGTTCAGCTCTCTGATTTTCATTCTTCTACTTTGCTTTCTGTCGTTCATTTTTTAACATAGGCCTCTCCCAACTCCTTCCATCGATCTCTGTCCTAAGCAATACACTTCCACTTTTTTCCTGCTACTCTTTTTGTCATCTACCCATCTCATCTGTGGTCTTCCTTTTAGTCGTCTACCTTTGCAAGGTCTCCAATGTTGTATTATGGCGTTCCAATGTTGATCTTTTTGTCTAGCTGTGTGGCCTGCGAAGCTCCATTTTAGTTTACCAATTTTTGTTGCGATATCTTCGACCCTTGTTTTTAATCTTACCCAGTCGTTCCTCTTTTCATCTGACATTCGTATACCAAGCATTGCTGATTCTATTGCCCCTTCTGTTGTATCTAGTTTATTTATATTTGTCTTGGTTAATATTCAGTTTTGACATCCATATATAAAGATAGGAAGGATACACTGGTTGAACACTTTGCTCCTCAAGTATTGAGGTATTTTGCGGTTTTTAATTATCCAACTGAGTTTTCCAAATCCTGCCAATACCAATCTTGCTCTTCTAGTGATTTTCGCACTTTGGTTCTCTTTGTCAATTTCCATAATTGGGCTTATGTAGATATATGTATGAATTTCTCCTATCTCACTGCCATTTATAGTTATACATTTGAAGTCTGTGTTTGTCTTTGTTTTTGTCATATTCCATTTTTAGACTGACGTATTGGGAGCTGTCTGTAAGTTCCTCTATCATAATTTATAGTTCCGCGAATGTGCTTGCCCTAATCACGATGTCGTCAGCGAATCTGAGGTGGTTTAACTTATTGCTATTAACATTTATGCCATATGTTGACCAATTTGTAGTTTTGAATGCATCTTCTAGGGCAAGATTAAAAAACTTTGGCTGATTTTCATTATTACTGGAGAATAAAGAAATATATACATATAGCGGAGGATGGGGCATTGTGAACCATCTAAGGAAGATATGCGCATATAGTTAAACTAGAAATAATTTTTTTCTTTAATTAATTAAGACGCATCACATTGCCCCATAGGGTGGTACAATGCGAACTACTGAGAAAAATTAAACTATTTCATTACCTAATCACTATGTTTTGCAGACAAAATCAAGGAAAAAGTAATTTGTTATTAAAAAAAAATTGAAAAACGGGGAAGAGAACATTAGTAAAAATAAATACACATATTATACTTATTCAGAAATACAAAATTCACACTGAAATTCTTCATCATCTTCTGGATTTATTCCTGCACATGCTTCATGAGCCTATTTCCGGCATACCGAGAAAAGTACCCATCCGTCTTCATCGGATAATGAGGAGAACTTTTTGATAGTTAAATTTAGTTTTTTTTTCCTCATCGTCTTTGGAAGGACAAACTCTATTTTTTTTGTTACTTCTATCTCTATCTTCGTGTTATCATCATTTATTTTTTTAGCTTTTTCTTTTTCATTGTTTCTTTTGTCTCCTTCGTGTTTATTTCCTTTGCAGGAAATGTAAATGTATATTGAAATCGTACGGAACTATCCCTCATTTTTTTTAAAACGTTTACATCAGTCAAAGGTGTTACAGCTTGTAAGTAGGCCTCACTAAAAATTTTAGAGATTTGGAAAACACTTACTGCCTAGGTTGTTATTAACAAACTTTTCCAATGCCATATCATAATATCGTACCAAAGGCGCCATGAAACCCACATCGGATGGCTGCATTCGATGCGTGGAATGTGGATGCAAACAAATAATATGTACATATTTCTCCCTAGCCAAATAAATTACTCATATGATTTTTGTTTGGCTGCTATGTCCATCAAAAATTAATAAGATCGGATCGTCTTCACTTGGTCTTGCTTGTTAAACAAAATGTTGGAACCATATTAAGAAAAGTTTATTATTTATCCAGCCACAATCGCTACAAACGAATATTGAACCTGTAGGTGCATCAGCTTGGAATTCGACTTTCATTCTCTTCCTTGCAAAGATTAGCATCGGCTGTGTCTAGATTCAAACAAAGGCTATTGTTATTCCATTTCTATCAGCAGAAGTCAGCCGCCCAACTTTTAAATACAATTATTCTTTCTCTTCCTTCGTAAAAACCGTTTCGTAGAAACCTAAACCCTTTTCGTCAGGAGACATTCTTGTTATTTTTTCTTTGTATCTGCGACTTAACGTTGCTTCCGGAATACCAAAAACTTTACTAGCTTTTAAATAGCTTATCTCCCCAGCTTTGACTGCCCGAATAGCATTTTTCAAGGCAAAAAGAGACCAGGATTGTTGGTCAGTTTTCCTTACATAATTTCGTACTATTTCTAACTGTAAAAGAAGAATATAGTTAAAGAAGTGTCAAGAAAATATAATGGGGTAATGTGCACTAATCCTAGTCCACGTTTCCCCATGCGTAGTACACATTCAAAATATAGAAATTAACATACAAGTTCACAACGTATCAAACAGCAAATCTTAATTATTAAAAGTACATTTCATAAGCGACTCCACAGTATAACAAAGTTAAAGTAAACATGCCTACTTACCGAGAAATTTTTAGTCAAAAGTAGTAAATTCCTTAGATTAGTAGCGACGGAACACGTGTTTTAATTTATAACACATCTGGGCCCTGATTCTAATTGAGATTTCGACTGAAAACATGTTGAAATCAATATGGCGACGTCGAAATGCGACTTTGCGAGCCTAGTGGATTTCAGCTGAACTAACCAAAGGACGTCACTAAATTTCGATTTATCGAAATTAATTTCAACTTCAAGAAAGTGGTTGAAATTTAATTTCGAGTCGAAATTAATCTGACATTACTAGCGGGACTGGGAGAAGCGAGGTTAGGTTCAGTTTAGGCGGTGTTGTTTTGTTTGATGGTCGAAATTTTAACACCTATAAAAATAGAACTGCGGTACCTGGGGGCCCCAAGCCAGATGCTACTGATTATTTTTTAAAATATACTGTGGTGTAAAAATTAAAGAAATAAAATATCCCAATATTAAAACTAAATTGGAAACCACAATTTTTGAATATATTCAACAGGCTGTAATGGAAGATAGAAATAATAAATAATTTGGTTGTAATAATTTATTTTAATTCTATACTCTTATTTGGAGATATAAAATAATCTTTAAACTCATCAAGAATTTTTAGAGCGGTAATGTATTATTTTTAGTAATACCAATATTAAGCTGCAGTAAATTTAAAAATATAATATAACCACTAAGTCAAAAGCCATCATAATTTCTTTTTGGTCCACAGACAATTTGGTGCCACCATCACCAACTGCATCCATCCATTTTCTTTAAATTCAAAATATAATCATTGAGAATGGCCACTAAAAATTTAACAACTCAAACAAGAAACAAAAATCGTAAAATGTAAACAAAACAAACATTTAGATTTAACAAGCGGGCAGCCAATAAACAAGACGGCCAACCCAAATTCTGTGCAGTGTCAAAATGATAAAGTAAATGTCCCCACTTTTAACTAAAATCGAAATGAATGAGAATCGCTAGCGATTGCGACTGTCATGGCGTAGTCGCTTTTAAATTTCGACATCGAAATGAAATAGAATCAGGGCCCTGAACATACACCTCGTGCTTTCAAACTCATACTAACTAAAAGTAATTTGTCTAATGTCTACGCATATTTGTGGTAGTTACTAGATGCAGTGTTGCCAATTAAAAAAAATAACCGATGTGGTTTACATTGAACAGATGGTCGACAATGCTCCATCCTCCCCTTAATAGCCCTATTACGTTCATTTCTCCCCATTACGTTTCATATATAGTGAAAGGGAAAAAGCTAGTTTAAGAAACCTCAATAAAGAAATAAAACGAAGATGTAAGGCCGACAAAAAACAGTACTATCAAAGTATAAGCAAAGAAATTGAGAGACATGGTCAGAATAATCAGCCGAGAGATCTATTTAGAAAAATACGCTACCTGACAAGAGACTTCAGAGCCAGAACTTGGGCCATTGAAGATAACACTGGAACCCTGAGAACAAACAGAGAAGACATAGCAGAGACATGGAGATCGTATTGCAGGGACCTATATAAAGATGATCAACGCCAAGAGCTTGTTAGCCAAATCTCTGACGAGGTGGAAGAAGAACCTGATATACTCGAACATGAAGTAAGACAGGCTATCAACAAGCTCAAATATAACAAAGCACCAGGTCCAGATATGATAACAGCAGAAATGCTTAAAGCCACAGAAGAAACCGGCGTAAAGTTACTTCATCTACTCTGTAACCAAATATGGCATTCCAAACAATGGCCTGAAGACTGGACAAAATCTACAATAACGACCATACATAAAAAAGGCAGCTTCCATAAATGCGACAATTATAGAACTATCTCTCTTATATCCCATGCCAGCAAGATAATGCTACATATAATCAATGAGAGACTGAAAACATTCCTTCAAAGAGAAATTCCACAAGAGCAAACTGGAGTTACCAAAGGTAGAGGTACTCGAGAACACCTGCTGAATATAAGACAGATAATCGAGAAATTTAGGGAATTCAACATCCCACTATACATCTGTTTTACAGATTACCGTAAAGCGTTCGACAGGGTCAAGTGGAGACACTTATGGCGAATACTAAAAGAAGTAGGCGTACCACAACATCTAATTACGCTTATAACCGAACTATATGAACACACTACTGGATCAGTTAAAGTACTTGACACACTTTCGAACGAATTTCATCCAGAACGGGGTGTCAGACAAGGATGTATACTATCTCCACAATTATTCAACATATATGGGGAGTATATTATGTGAAGAGCACTTGAAGGATGGGAAAAGGGCATCTCAATAAATGGTCATAAACTAAACAACCTACGTTTCGCAGATGACACAGCCCTTCTTGCAAATAGTCAAGCAGAGCTGATAGAACTTATACGACTGATCGAAAACGAAAGTCAAATATTTGGTCTGCAATTAAATATATCAAAGACAAAGATCATGATAGTGGATAGACTACACAACAATCATCCACACATAACCACGATTGACCGGTTCGAGGTTGTGAGCTCATACTTATATCTGGGATCATTAATCACAAACACAGGGTCATTACAAGAAGAGATTAAACGTAGATCTGATCTAGCAAAAGTTGCCACAGCAAAAATGACCAAAATATGGAAGGACTGTCAAATTTCAAGAGCGATAAAGATGAGGTTGATCAACTGCTTAATATTCCCAATACTGACCTACGGATGTGAATCTTGGACTCTGAGACAATCGGAGAGAAGAAAGATAGACGCCACTGAAATGTTCTGTTGGAGACGAATGTTACGAATTCCTTGGACCGACCGCAGAACAAATAATTCAATTTTAAGAGAGCTAAAAGTTAGCCAACGACTCTCTAGTAAAGTCCATCTCCAACAATTAAAATATTTTGGGCATGTTATGAGAGCAAACACAGAAAACATGGAAAGACTCATAATACAAGGAAAGGTAGAAGGCCGAAGATCACGAGGAAGATCCCCAACAAGATGGATAGATCAAATTACAGGAATATGCCAAAGACCTATGCATGAATTAAAAGAAATGACCAGAGACAGAGATCTCTGGAGACGGACAATACACGACATCACGTCGACCACTACACTCCCCCTGGGGGGTCAGGATTGAAGAGAGAGAGACGTTCATATCTGAATAAAATATACTCGTATTTTATGAAAATACCTTCATATACATTGAAATTGATTGATGTATTTCTATTCCCCGAAACAAATTTATGTAATTCGCTTTATAGACGACGGCATTTTAGATTAGATTTAGAGAGGTGGCCTTATGGCCTATTTCACTGCGACCTTTTCATATTTATTGTGATCCTATAGTCCTAGATAAAATTCTCTAGCCTGACTTTTTTATAAAGTCTAGTAGATTCGAGACTGTACCTGCCATATAGCTATTTGCCGGTGGATTTTCTTCTCCTGCAAAGAACCGCACATTTGCCAGACTGTCACACTGACATAAAATGTGCTGTGCTGTTTCCTCGTCGAGGTGACAAAATCTGCACAGGTCATCATCTGATAATCCCATCAGCTTCACGTGCCTATTCAGCTTACAGTGCCCTGTTAGAAGACCTACTATGGCTTTGACTGTTTTCCTGTCTTTGCTTATTAGGTCTGCCGTAAATTTTGGCAAATGTTCTGCAATGCACTGTTTCGCCCATCTTTGTCCTGGTGAATTCCTCCACCATTCCAGAGATTTGTGAGCTACCTGTTTCCTTGTAGCCGTTCTTGTTACTGACTTTGCAACGCCGCAGAAGGGTTCCGGTCCAATGAATGGCATCGATGAGCCTTGTTTGGCCACTTTATCTGCTTTTTCATTGCCCTTATCACCCTCGTGTCCCGGTATCCAGGCTACCGTAACCTTGCTACGGTCTCCAAGTATATTTAGGAGATACACGCAATCCCATACTAGCTTAGAATTGGCCCCTACAGAATTGAGTGCGCTGTCTGAGTATCTGTGAAGATGGCAACTGAACAAAAACGTTCTTTCCTGCCTTTCTATTTCTTCCACGCAATGAAACTGTTGCATCGATAGGTTTTCCCATCACAATATCGGCTGTTAGCTCCTCGATTAGCTTTCTGTTGTCAGTACCATGCATCTGGCTTATATATCGCTGTTTGCATCAATGATCTGGCTTCACCCTGTATTAAGATATGAAATGGTGGTAGATTCAGCAGGACTTATCTAATAGCCTTATTGCTCCCACTTGCTGCATCGTTGTCCACCACATCACCGAGCCATAGGTTAGATATCATGGGTCTAATAACCCTTGTGTATAACCATAGAGTCATTTTGGGGTTAAGTCCCCAATTTTTACCGCACATTCTTCTATATCTGCCCAGGGACATAGTAGCTTTCTGCGTGGTTTTCAGAATGTGAGTATTTCATGTAAGCCTATGATCAAAATATACCCCAAGGTATTTTGTTTCTTTGGCAAATGAAATCTCTGTCCTTTACAGTACCGGTGGTTTTAGGCCTTGTAGTGCTGTTTTTTTGGTGAAGTTGACGATTTGTGTTTTCTGAGCATTGACTATCAGTCTCTCTTGTGTACACCAGTCGTCAACTATATTTAGGGCTGCTTGCATTTTCTCAGACACCACCTGAACAAACCTGTCCCTGAAAACGATTGCTATATCACCAGCATCTTCTTCTTCTCATGGCGCCGTCTCCTTTCGAAGGTTGGCGATCCAAATGGCAATTGTGGTTTTGAAAACTGCTGCGCGAAAGATTTCTGAGGATGAGGGGTCGAACCATCTCCTTAGATCTTTCAGCCATGAGTTCTGGCGTCTTCCTACTGATCGCTAGCACATCCTGATAATAAAAGCCTTCTATGGACAGATTTCTGAGGAGATCATCAACCAAAGTTGTCCAAAGTAGAGGGGACAGAACTCCACCTGGTTGACAACCTCCACGTACTTTTGCTTTGATGGTTGCTTTACCCAGAGTGGACATTACTGTCCTATTCTCCAGGAATGCCTTATCAATCTGCATATTACTGCAGGTGATCCTCGTCTACTCATAGCTGGTGCTAACAGCTGGTGATAACATTATTAAATGCCCCTACTATATCTAAAAAAGCGGTCATTGTTATCTCTTTGTCTTAGGTATACATTACCAGGTTGGTATGCATATTGACGAATGCTTAGAAGATTATCTTTTAGCACTTCGTCTCTGATGTACCTATCAAGAAGCGTTCCCAGCGTTTTTAATAGAAAAGAAGATAAGCTTATCGGTCTATATGACTTTGGTGTTAGATCTGATACTTTAACTACATTAGACAAGTATATGAATTTATTCCTTTGCCATATTTCCGGTACGACCCCCATGCTAAACTGGCTTTGAGGAGCTTGCATAGGTGTGGTATCAATATTAGAGACCGCATTATTGCCGTAGACGACGGCATATTACGCACTAAATTTTATCCATTGAAAGTCGATTTGCACTTCTGATCTTGGTATTTTTTTTATCAGCAATTAAATTTTATAGCTTATGGTTTCAAATACAGCCTTACTAATTATCTGAGAGATGTTGACTTTTTTGTCTCTAAATAAATGTTTGATATAATTAATCTCCCTTTTGTTTCTAAATCTGCATTAAATACGCGACACATAAACTAATCTTTGATTTTGGTTATTGAGACCTTCTCTATAATGTCTTTATCTTTGTTCTTGTTATCTCCTTTACTTCTCTAACAATCGTATCAAGCGCGAATTGTAGAGACCGAAACCAGTCGTCCTAGGTTATAATAAAACCAATTCAAATGAGCAAATCTTTTCTGTTTTACTGCCTTTTTGGTCCTATTGAACATAGACTCCATTTTGGCAACAATTTATCATCCTATCAATATAATTTTAATTTTTCAGATATACTCAAGGCATGAGCGATCTTCTAGCTCCAGTTTTATACGAGCTTCAAGATGAAGTAGCTGCTTTCTGGTGTTTCGTTGGTTTAATGCAAAGAGCAGTATTTGTAGCTACCCCTACCGATAGAGATATGGATAGAAATTTAAGATATTTGAGAGAATTAATAAGGCTAATGGTACCAAAGTTTTACAATCACCTGGAGAAACACAAAGACGCGCTAGAGCTGTTGTTCTGTCATCGGTGGATACTTCTGTAAGTTGAAATGTTTTAAAAATATTTTAATAATATAAAAAATGTCTAATTTGTAACTAGTTATATAAATAACTATTTATTATTAAAGGTGCTTCAAAAGAGAATTCACGGAAGGTGTAGCATTAAGGATGTGGGAAGCATGTTGGGCGAATTACTTAACAGATTATTTTCATCTCTTTCTGTGTTTGGCAATAATATCTGTATACGCTGACGATGTTATAGCTCAAGATCTGCGTTCAGACGAAATGTTGCTTCATTTCAGCTCACTGGGTAAGATGGAATATATTTTAAAATATGTACTTAATATCACTGACTGATAAAATGAAATATGTATTAGTGTTAAGAATAGAGGGATTAGATCTGTAATAGTTAAAATCGGTTTTTCTGTTTAAGTGTTATTCCCTTTTAATTTTTATATAGAATTAAATCTAGTTTAAAAGGCTTCATAACAAAGACGCACATGTGTCATTCAAGAAAAATTAAAATAAATTGGTTTTTTTGTAGATAGCTGCTATTATTCTTTTTATAGTATAGTTTCTGATATTAGAATGTCCACAAGTAATCTTGTGGACATTCTAATATCAGAAATATATGAAATTATTATAAAATTATTATTTGAAAATACAGATGTCCGCTTTTGGAACAAAAATGGTTAAATGTCTATTTTTGATCCAAATGTGATGGTAGCTGTCGGTTTTTGATACAAAAAAAAAATTGTATTTGTAAGAGTGAAACCTCGGTTTGGACCTAGCTTAAAATTTAATGCTTATAAGGAATCAGGTATTTTAAATGAAAATTCCTATTTTAAAATCTTTTATTCAAGTTGCATTAGTACCTGCCTACAAAGCAATTTAACTAAAAATATATATTTTAACTTTAGTAAGATTTAAATTGAAATTAACACAAGATCACCATCCAAATCAACATTATTATTTTCATACTCACATGAATCATCATATTTAGCCGATATTTCAGGTTCTGCTTGCATTATGTTTTTGTGCCACTGCAAAGTATCATTCTCCCTCCAATTTACTCCAAAATGTTTTTCAATCAATTTTGCTACGTCCTTAACCTTTTCTGCTTTTAGATATGAATTTCTTTTGGGTTGATCTGTCCAATAGTGCAGTTGGTCTTACAAAATTTTCTCTCTGCTCCAGTGTCAAGGTTGTAAGAAATCTCTCCTTTCACAACGATGTTTCCCAATTTAGTTTTCCGAAGAACTATTCGTCGGCAGGTAGAAATTTTGAAATGAAGTTGAGTCGCTATTTTAATAAAACTTTTTGCTGCTTGTTTCTAGTCCAACGGTACCCAATCCCTTCCAATCAACTTAATCGTACCAGATTTCTTAACAATTTAATGATATTTTTTTTTTGTCACAATTGTGTTGATTTTTTTTTAATGTTTACTCTATCATCCCAAATACTCTGTCGGAAGGAATGAGTGCCCTGTTACAGGAAAGACTGTTTAAATTTTTCGTATGCTTATTGGAGCACAGCTATCCAGAAACTTGCAGCACATAGTTAAAATATTTATATTCTTCTCTTGTCCAGCGCAACCATCAGACACCAAACGAATGGAGTCATATCCGGAGAGATCAGCCGATCTCAACTCATTGAGGACAATGAAAGCGTTGGATGATTTTGTTGCTTCGTCTTCCGTCCAAGTATAAATTGAGACAGTACTGGGATTCAGAGCAGAGATTCATTTGACAATCCTTTAACTACTTAAAGGTTATAACAGTAAAACTGTCGTAAATAGTGCGCACTTTGATCAATTACTTTTGGTAAAACAAGGTTTTTCTGACAATCAAAACTCAAAATTAAACATCCTTGTGGTTTTTCTTGTAGGTGTTAGAGGAAGGCTTAGGCCTGTTTCTTGTGTAACTCCATATTTTCATTTTAAACACCTTTTTTCTTCCTCCGCTTTTTCCACATAGATAAGGTTTTGTAATTCTAGGCAAGTACTACATTCATCCATGCCAGGGTAAGAGAATCCAATGATGAAATCTGAGCAAAATATTTTCCTGAAAAATCCCTGAGTAACCTTCTCAGATTCTTTACCATAATTGAATTTTCCACATTTTGGCGATATTCAGGTCTGATGGTAGGTAGACACGTGATAAGTGATGTCGTAAATAATGCGATTCAATAGCTTGAAAACTATAGATCAACTTTTTTACTTCTTCTCTTTTCGAAGCAAACTTTACTTCCTTGTGGTTTCCGCCTCGAGTTTCCACTGGGACATGAAATACACCGTTCTGGAATTTTCGGAATACTCCTATAATTCTATGCTTAGTAATAGGCTGCAACACCTTGAGAAAGCATCCCTGCAAACGTTGAGATTGTTGCCAGCGTGGTTTACAACGTTTGCAACTCCATGACATCACGCATTGTTATAAGCTGGCACTGGTATCCAACTCGGTGATGACAGGTGGGGTACAGAAGAAGACCCTTGGCTGAGTACCTGCATGAACATACATAAGAAGTTAATTATTTAGTTAATTCAATGAATAGTCTATTCATTTAAGTCAATAGTCAGAATTTATATTTATATTATGAAATAAAACTTTATAGCATGAGTCCGTTTTTGAAGCAGACCTTCAACTGTGAGGTTAAAAATAATGTATTTGCGTCGGTGTGGGAAGGAAACTATTATCATCATTGAAAAGAACAGGAATAATTCTATACGAAACCACTACTAACTAATTTTTTATTTTTTTGATGTCCATGTCCGTCTTTGATCTGAAGCCACTGAGTTGTACTGCAGCGATGATAATATTAAAGAGTAAATTAACGTGACATAAAACATTTGATTTCCTATTTCAAAGAGAAGCAGGAAAAATCCGACAGTGTATACATTTTCTGATCTTTGGTAAGACTACTACCAACTACTACTAGTATCATGACAGAAATACAGAAAGACAGAATTGCTATTACTGATCGAAAGCTGGGCCTTTTGGGGTGTAATACGAGAATGTGTAGAAAATGTTATCAAGAAATGGTATAAAATACCAAAAAGAAGGAAATATCCAAAATGCTTCCAGGATTGACACAAACAGGATTAATCTCTCCCTGTTGTTGTTTTCCCATAACTCAGGATCGTGAATTTCCTGATTGAAACATGGAACGTAGAACATTTACCTGATGAGCTCTCCAGTGAATAATAGACTTGTACAATTCGCTCAAGACAGAATTTCTTTTTATAGTCGACCTTTGTAGTCCCTTTCTTGAGTATCGTACAAGACTATCCAAAAAGATTGTCCAGAAATGGTAAACAATTCTAAAAAAGAAGAAAATGACCGAATATTACACTTATACACAGCTCAAAATAATTCCTACATCTTCGCTTTGGGGCGAATTGAATTTGTAGGAATCAGTGTTTGAGAAATATTTTATGCCCTCATGTTCTGAAATGAAAGACAACGATGGATTTTACAACTCGTGTATTTAAAACTGTCCAAATTCTATTCTACTACTACTTCTGTCCAAAACTATTCCATTTCGGCGAATAAATTAGTGCCGAAAGATCGTTAATAAATATGCTTAATGTGATTTACGGGGGAGAAGGAACGAATTATATGCAGCGGGTAATTAATACGCAGAGTCGATTAAAATAAAACGGTTCTAGCTGAGGTTTTTTTGGCAAGTCCAAATGTCTAACAAAGCGTACTGCTTTCAAATTCCAGTTATTATTATGACGTCAATTATAGTGTACATGATTTCCTATAAGAAATAGCCGTGGAAATCGTAACAAGGTAAGCTTTCATTTTTCTTGTTTGTTAATTTCATGTTGATTTTAATAGTTTTTATAACTTAAGTAACTACTCGTATGGAATAATATTGCCCACAAAATGTCTTGCTTACTACATAAATAAAATAAAAGGTATTGATATAAGTACCTAAGACTAATTATTTAATTGCAGATGCCTAGACTATATGTTCAAAATGTTCTACTCGTGGGAATATTGTAGATGAAGTCCTTCAAACAGCTCTAAATACTATTAACTCAGAAAAATTAGAGAAATTAGTCTTTACGGAATTAATTACGGAAAGAATTAACTAAATGTATCTTAGTAAGTCTGAGATAACCAGAAGGAACAAGCATTAAGCGAATAATCCTTTAATAAAATCGAGGTCAATTTTATCCGAGCATTGCTTTAATATCAGATTAAATATACATACAACGTTGACAATTCTGGCATAACGACTGTACAAAGACCTTCAATCACTTTGGGCCCAAAGAGACAGAAGTAGGTTCTGCAATGTCGTTGGATAGAGGAAAGACCATTACAATAGTTTGTGCGGTGAGTGGGTTTGAAGGATACCTTCCACCGACGTTCATCTTTCCCAGGAAGAGGAGGAATTCTCAACCCCAAAAATAATGTCTCGATAGGTGCAATATATCACTGCTGTGTCAATGGCTGGATAATTAGTTAGCCGTTTTATGAGCGGTTAAAGAACTTTATATTCTATTTCCATCCTAATTTATTTATGTTACCTGTTTTATTAATACTTGACAATCACACCAGTCAAATTTCGTTGGAGATATATTCATTTTGTAAAGTTAACTAAGTCCAACTCATATTCATACTTCCGCACACTTCTCAAATTCTACAGCCCCTCAACCTTTCATTTTTTGTCCTCTTAAGGGAACCTATAGTAGAGAATGTGAATTATATCTCTGAATATCCACATCAGGTAATAACAAACTTTCAATTAGCTGAGGTTTTCAACCTAGCCTGAAAATTGCTACACTGGAAAACGGGGTTGCTGGCTTTAGATCTACTGGTATTTGTCTTTCGACTTTTCGCCCTAGATAAATTTAAAAATGAAAGTAGAATGGTAGAAACCTAGAAACCATTAAAAGAAGCATCATTAATAAGAGAAAGACAGCATATTTGGGACACACACTTAAACGGAGAAAGGCAGCATATTTACAACATATACTTAGAAATGATAAGTACGAGCTTAAGGGTAAAATCAAAGGAAAAAGGGGTCCGTCAAATATCCTTGTTGAAAAGCATTCGCGACTGAACCTGCTTAAACACCAACCTTCATAGTGAAGTTTAAGAAGAAGTAGAAAATCAAGTAGAAGTATAAGTTACCGAACAACTGGCAGATCAGGTTATTAATGAAAACATCACTCCAAAGGCAGCCCCAGCAATAAATTCTGAAATAGATTCAATTCCTGAAACATCAAAAGCCAATGTTTTTTTTTTCGAACTTATTACCAGTACCAAAGGTTCACACAGTGTCAAAAAAATAGGAAGTGTGCAAAGATTGATCTAAAATTTTGACATCCACACCATGATGAAGCTGATTTGAAGAGAGAAGAGAGAAACGAGAAGAAAGCAGCTGCTACAAAATGAAAATATCTTTCGCAAAAAGGCGAAAAATCAACCCATGTTCTTCTTTTTCAAGTGCCATCTCCGCGGCGGAGGTCGGCAATCATCATAGCTATTCGGATTTTTGAGACGGCTGCTCTGAAAAGTTCATTTGATGTACATTCGTACCACTGTCTCAGGTTGCGCAGCCATGACATGACATTGACACGACCCATGTTAAAAATATTAAATGTCAAGGTGGTGAATTGGAATATGATGAGGAAGACATAATGTGGTGATTATAAAATAAACTATGTGAATCCGATTATTCCAGAGAACATCTGCCTAATTTGTGTCGAATTCGGGAAGGACAGAGAATAGTATCATCAGAGTGCATCTTGTTTGGGTTGGGCATATACCAATTGCACTAAAAGAGAAGGTTTGCAGTTTAAATTATAATTTTTTTTTGTATCTAATAAAAAAATCAAGCTGTATATTTTTTTAATCTGCCTTAAATTTTCCCGATACACTGCATAAAATTACCCATATAGATGGTATTTGAATAGTGTAATGAAGTTATAATTAACACGTTTGTTTCACTGGATTGTTGCTCTTTTGAAATTCGTAGTCATAGCAGCGTATTTTGCACGCGCACGCGTGCTTATTTTGATTTTCTTGGTACCTTAGCAATATTGTTTTTACATGTACAATTAGAAATCACGGCCCCAGTATTTTTAAAAATTTTGTAAAATCCTTTGAATTGTTGAGTGACTTGGAATTGGACTATTGGAATATCATACGCAAAATAAAGAACTGACAATTTGCGCCCTATTGCCTGAATAAAACATTGTTATTATTGCTACTTTCTCCTTAACTAAGTACATTTTTTAATTAGCTTTATTGTTTTTTAAACAATAAATCACAAAATAAAAATTTTGGCAATTCAAATATTGTCAAATATCAGAAATATCAATATGACCAAACGTAACATGTCATACACATTATTGCACAGCGTGTGGCCTGACTTTAAGGGGTGGCCTGAAAAATGTATTATATTCTGGCAACATTTTGGAATGCGTTTAATTCGTAGAGCAATTTTAACATTTGTTTTCGATACATATTTCAGTCATCTATAAATATTTTCCTGACTTTTGGAGTAAAATATTTAGGGAAGCAGAAATTCAACAATTTAGAATTTCCCATTCTATTTCCTATGACCCGTTTGACGATTCATCACCCTGTATATATATATATATACAGGGTGATGTATTTAATTCTCTTATTTAATTTTTAGCTATGTATATGGATGGACAGGTCATCACAAGAAAAGCACGGGGATTACTACATCAATTTCGTCAGATGCGCGAAATACCCTGTACACTAGCTGGTCTGTGCACGAGATGTGGTCCAGGCATTTGGGACAGTTCACACAGTCCACGCATATTCTGCGTGGGGCACGAACAAGCTGGAATGTGTATAAATTGAACAATGGACTGAGTATTAATATTTGTTTAAAGAAGATGGACGATTTGTATTTGGACAATACAATGTTGATGTTGGTTATTTATTATTTTAGGGTGAGATGTTTGAAGATAGGTAAAGGTTTTAGGGATAAACTGGATAATTATTTTTTCTATTTAGAAGAAACAACAACTACTATAAATATATAGAAATTTAATGAGTATATATTATGTAATCAAAGATACAAAGACCTTGATTTGTCCTGAATTTAAAAAAAAATCAAATATTACTTCTTTTTATAGATATATGATTTAGATAAGCACACTTAAACCATATAATATTATAAAACTCTCTAATAAAGCCCTAAAAATAAAAAATAAAACATTTTTCATCTAACTCACGAAGAGTATCAAAAAAGACATACTTGTATATAGGAAACTCTGTTAATAATATAGTTATCGAACAGAGACAATCCAATTTTGGGAAAATATGTACCCAGTAGTTAAACAGGTATGTCAGAGAGTAGCAAAACCACTATAATGAAATGTATAAAAAAGTTAATGCAATTCAGCACATAATTGCCTTTTGACCGTGGTTATTCGATGGCTCAGAGCAACCTCCCAGAGCAAGTTTTCTGTCTACAACATTCGTATCATCATCCAATAAGTATATGATCCAATGTAATATCTTGGCTGCATAGACTTGGTGAAGACTTACAAATCACCCTTACTTCTGCTAAGACGTTTACAAATGTGATGAAATATCTTAAAGATTGTTACTTTGCGATACATTACCATAGGCTTTTGTGATAAAATTTTTGTAATTTATATCAAATGCATTGTAATTATTTTCTTTTACAATCGTGCCAATGGCCTTTGTTTAATTAAAGTAGATATCACTGTCGAATGGAAATCTGCTATAAGCATAACCTAGTGAATGCATAGTGAAATAATTTGACTTTTTAACAGGACGGTGCTCCTCCGCATTATGGTTTACTTGTTCGTCAATATTTAGACCAACACTTTCCACGGCATTGGATTGAGAGAAGAGGCAGCATCGTATGACCTCCTCGGTCACCAGATTTGGGACGCCTAAAAAGTAGAAGGAACCAGAGAAGCGTTATATGTTTTTAATGTGTTATGTATTATGTCACCCATTACTATTTAATGTATATAGTGAAACCATTTTTGAAGAAGCATTATTATTTCAAAGTGCGAAAGATCTATTAACAACATAAGATATGTAGATGACACCGTGACGGTGCCAAGCTCTGCTGAACAACTTTAATTATTGCTAAACAAAACAAACAGTTTCTGTGAAAAATATGGACTAAAAATGAATATAAAAAGACCAAATACATGATAATAACAAAGAAAACAAATATACCAAAAAAAATACATTTGGGAAATGTACCGATAAAAAGGGTTGATAAATACAAATATCTAGAAACCTGGATTTCAGACAATAATGATCAAACAATTGAAATAGGAGCCAGGATAGAAATAGCAAGAACTGCATTTGTAAACATGAATGCGTGTTTTCGATACTTCAATATGGACTTGAAAGCTGGACATTGAAGCAAGAACACATAAATAAGTTACAGTCCTTTGAAATGTGGTGTTACAGGAGGATGCTTAGAATAGCATGAACACAGAAGAAAACTAACACGGAAGTATTGCAAGAAATAGGCTAAAAATGCGAAATATTAAACACAATATAAATAAGAAAGTTACAATCTCTGGGACACATAATGACGGGACAGCTATATGAACTGCTAAGGCTGATAATACAGGAAAAGATAAGAGGAGGAAGGAGTATATGAAGAAGGAGAGTGTAATTTTTAAAGAATTTAAAAGACTGGTTTAAATGCAGTTCTATAAAACTCTTCAGAGCAGCAGTAGATAGAGTAAAGATAGTGATGATGATATCCAACCTTCGATTGGGAGACGGCACTTGAAGAAAAAGAAAAAGTAAAATTTATAGAACACCATCCGCATCTTTAGAAGATTTCAAATGCTTCGGAAACTAAGAGAACGTTTAAAACAAAACCTTTATCATTGTATGGGCTCCAGAGGTCATAAGTTTCATTATTTGGTCAACTAAGAAATAAGAAATCAGATAAAAATATTAATATTAAATTGTGTTTTCTTTTAATAAATCAAAGTATTCGACCGAATTTAAAAAATGTAAGACTAATGTGTAGGGAATTGCAAAGATATTAAAAGGTTATTTGACCCACATTGCCATTAAGAAATGTTGAGGTGATTATTAAACTGGCTTAGAAGTCAAAGTAAAATAAACGAAAATATCATCATCACCGTAAGATATCAATGAGAAAAATCGACGATTACGGGCATTCAAATGAGAAAGAATACAAATTAAATATAATTTATAATTTTAATCGTGTCTATTCAGCGTGTTAGTCCTAACAATAAAAAGATTAAGAGAAAAGATTATTAGCCAGTTATTTATTGTAGATTGCACAAATGTACGCATAACTGAACAATATTTTTACTAATTAAATATTTTCCGGACTAAAAGTTTAATAGTTTATTATACTTATGTATAGAACTTCTTAATATGTCGTAAGAATTTCTTAATATAATCTTCATCTTTTATAACGATCTGTTACAATATTTATAATCATAATAGTTCATACAGTTTTTAAGAATTTTTATAGATAATATAAAAAATTCTGAATTATTCTTCAAACACCTCATACAATAAGTATTAAAGTACAAATTTCATGTTTGTAAAAATTAGACAGAGAAGGAAATGCTTTTGCTAGCAACAGGTGCCTTTTAGTCAGTTAGACGTTAGGTTTTGATAATCAATGTTTTGCTGTGTTTAAAACTTATTTTGTAATAGAAATATTTTATTTTAAAATAAAAATATCTTCTGCATTCCATGTAATGCAAATTGTATCCAACTGGATGATTTAATACCTATAGTAAGAAAGTACTGAAACTAGTACGATGCATGTTTTTTAGTTGATGTCTTTTTAATTTACCAAGTCAGTAGTGTGATAAAGTGGGTATAAATATTAAAATAGGGAAATCAATGTGTTAGAAAGAGAGAAAAGTACCTTTGTTACATGTATAAGAGCGAGAACGATATATGTTGACGTCACATTACGCGAATCAACTACTATCCGCTAGTATATTCGCGATTTTTAATACAAAATTGAAAGAAATATTTATATAAAGTGCATTTGACATAAGGAATCCACAATACTGACTGTCATAGTTCTGCTATTATTACATATACTTACCCAATTATAATTAAGTAGAAGTACCACTATCAGGATTTAAGAAAAAGTATCAAATAATTAGAGAACCGGCATATTAGTGACAGTGAGATCAATTGTAATCCTGAAAGAATACAAGAGCAGCCGCAGTGCACCTGGATTAACGTTGATAGACGGCTAATACAATAAACATATCCACTAAGAAGTATTCAATATGTATTCACAGATCGACTTTATTCTAACCAATCTAAGATTTAGAAATTCCATTGTAAGCGTTAAGACTTTTCCTGGAGCAGATGTCCCCTCAGACCATAACCTCCTTGTCTCAAAAATGAAACTGATGGTAAAAAAGATAATAAATTCCAAAAGTTCTAAGGTGAATATTCAGTTACTCAAGATAAATGAAATCCGTGCTGAGGCTTCAACTTGTATCAATCAAGAAATGAAAAAATTAACATAAGAAATAAAAAACATTGAGAATCTGAATATTATGTGGAGCTAAATCAAAGATTCTGTTATAAAAACATAGAAAGAAACTCTACAAAAGAAAACAGAAAGCCGAAAACCTTAGATGACTCAAGAAATACTGGAAATCATGAAACAAAAAAGAAAATATAGAAACAAAATCCCTAATAAGTACAGAGAAAAACATAAATTAATAAGGAACAAAATAAAAGAGGATAAGGAAAAGTGGATGATGGAAACATGCATCGAAGTGAAAGAATTGCAAAAAAAGCATGATCATTATAATTTACATAAAAAAGTAAAAGAATTATCTGGAAAATCTCGAACAAATACACATAACCGATTAATTGACAAAAACAATAAACTTATTAATATCCCAATTGAAATAAAACAAGTATGGACTATATATATCGAAGATCTTTTCATGGACGCAAGGATGGAACCAACACAAATTGATAACGAGGAAGCTCCAATAAAATTAAAATCTGAAGTCCAACATGCTATAAACAACTCAAAATCTGGCAGAGCCACTGGGCCTGATGAAGTTCATATCGAGTTGGTTAAACCTTCTTCTTCTTTTTGTGCCACTCCTATCGGAGATTGGAAATCATCAAGGCTATTTTGACCTTGTTTACGGCTGACCTAAAGAGTTCATTAGTGGTGCAGCCAAACCACTCTCTCAAATTCCGCAACCATGACATTCTTCTACGGCCTGGATTCCGTTTTCCTTCTATTTTTCCCTGCATTATATTTTGAAGTAATGCGTATTTATGTCCTCTCATCAGGTGACCAAAATATTCGAGTTTTCTTCGCTTTAGCGTTAACAAAATCTCTGGGTCTTTTCCTATTCTTCGTATTACTTCACAGTTTGTTATTCTTTCAACCCAACTAATCTTCAGCATTCGACGGTAGCACCACATCTCGAAACTTTTAATATTTTTCATGTTGTTCTGTTTGAGAGTCCAGGCTTCTACACCGTATAATAGCGTGTTAAATACATAGCCTCTCAGCATTCTTAATCGTAGAGGGATGCTTATATTTTTGTTGCAGAAGAATTTTCTCATCTTTATGAAGGTGGCCCTGGCAATTTCGATACGTCTTTTTATTTCACCGTTTTGGTCTCCAGTTTCGTTTATTAAAGTTTCCAAGTATTTGTAACTTGATACTTTTTCAACTTGAGTGCCGTTTATACTAATATACGCTGGTTGTGTCATGCTTTTACTGAAGACCATATACTTGGTTTTTTTAATATTGATATTTATCCCATAATTGTTGCAAGCAATATTTATGTCTGTAAGTAATCTTTGTAATTCTTCTACTGTTCTTGCAACTAGTACAGTGTCGTCCGCGTATCGAATATTATTTACAATCTCTCCATTAATTACGATTCCTCCGTTTGCTTGTAAAAGGGCTTCCTGGCAGATGCTTTCACTATATACATTAAATAACAGAGGTGACAAAATGCAACCCTGTCGTACTCCTCTACGTATTTCTATTGCTTGTGATGTTTCAGTTTCTATTTTGATGTTAGCTTTCTGATTCCAATATAGATTGAGAATTATTCGCAGATCTTTATTATCTATGTCCTTCCTTTCAAGAATCTCTCTAAGCTTATCATGGCGTACTCTGTCAAACGCTTTTTTAAAATCGATAAAACACGTATGTACCTTCTGATTAACGTCTAGGCATCTTTTTGTGAAAACATTCAAACCGAAGAGAGCTTCTCGAGCACCAAGCCCTTTTCTGAACCCCATCTGTGTATTACTAATATCTGACTCCAACTTTTGATAAACTCGGTTGTGGGTGATTTTTAGAAATATCTTTAGTAGGTGGCTCATTAAAGATATTGTTCGATGTTCTGAACATTCTTTAGCATTATATTTCTTTGGCAGTGTAACGAATGTAGACAACAGCCACTCTTGAGGTATAATTATTGTATATTGTATTAAATAAGTGCAATATTATACCTATTGATTCATCATTCAAGAGCTTTAGCAATTCGGTAGGAACCTCATCCGGTACATTTGCCTTCCCAGTTTTGGAATTTTTAAGTGCCATTTCTACTTCACATTTTAGAATTTCAGGTCCCGTTTCGCCATATATCAGAACAATGTTATTTCTGTTGTCCTCAAATAATTCTCTTATGTATTCACTCCATCTATTAATTTTCTCTGTTAAATCTATAAAGGTTAAACCTTAGACTAAGACAATTTAAGTGTAATAACTATACTCTCAACATATACAAATCTGGTGAGATATCTACAGTAATGGCTGCTATCAACCTTTGTTCCGCTACCAAAAACCAAGAACCCCAAACACTGTAATGACTATTGATTAATCAGCTTAATGTCACACTTATTAAAAACATTTTTAAAGATTATACATCCAAGAATATTCAGAAAGTGCGATGCAGATATGAGTAATAGACAGTTTGGCTTTTGTAACGACTTCAGAACAGTGGAAGCTCTGTATAGTTTCACAACTCTTGCCCAAAAATATCGAGACCAACAAAAAGATCTTTTCGTTGCGTTTATAGACTATGATAAAGCTTTCGATAAAGTTAAACATAACATTCTCATGGAATGTCTAAAGAGAGAAGAACTCGACTGAAATGACATTAACATAGTAAGAAATCTCTATTGGAACCAACAGGCCGCTGTACAGAAGGTATCAAGATAAATGGTGAAAATATAAATAACATCCGTTATGCTGACGATACAGTCATTATCGCTGAAAGTAAGACAGACCTGCAGACGTTACTAAACACAATTTGTGATACTGGGGAACAATTTGGTTTAACAATAAACATAAAAAAAACAAAAGCCATGGTTATCAGTAAGAGGGGCAAAGTCATTACAAGGATAGAGATAAAAATGAAGATATTGAGCAGGTGGACAAAATGAAATACTTAGGAGTCTGGATTACGAAAGATATGAATCCGAAATCAGAAATTCGCTCAAGAATAGAGCAATCAAGAGCAGCCTTTGTAAAGATGAGGAAATATCTGAGTAACCAAAGACTCAATCTGCAAATCCGATATTGGATGGTAAAATGTTATATCCACTCTATTCTTCTTTATAGTGTCGAAGCCTGGATTGCTAATGTTGACTTAATGAGAAAACTGGAAGCTTTCGACATGTGGCTTCTTAGGAGAATTTTGAAGATACCATGGACCGATCATATTACGAACGAAATGGTGTTGCACAGAATGGGAAGACACAGAGAACTTTTGACCACCATTAAAAGGCGATGTGGGGTACATACTTAGAAATGATAAGTAAGAGTTGTTGCAGCTGATTATGAAGGCTAAAATCGAAGGAAAAAGGGGTCCTGGTAGACGACAATTATCCTGGCTGAAAAATATTCTCGACTGGACCGGATTAAACACACAGACGCTCTTAAGAAAAGCAGAAGATAGAGACGAATTTGCAATGGTTATGTCAACCTTCATTAGTGGAGACATCACTAGAAGAAGAAGATGCACAGTAGCAACTAGCGGATAATAGTTGAATTATGACAGTCGGTAATGTAGATTCCTTTGACGTAATGTGACGTCATATATATCGCTCTCACTCTTACACATATAGCGAACGCGCTTCTCCACCTAACATAATAATTTCAATATTCTGATAGTCGTACCGTGGTCGTACCCGCTTTGTCACACTACTTGGCCATAAAGTCACGATACCATACTTCTGATTTTCCTCCTTTTAAAAATAGATCTAATTATATAAAAGACGTTTAGATGTAATGTATTTAAAAGATGAAATATATTATGGTTTCTTGCCATATAATTTTTTAGCGTAACTGTCCTTTTTGTCGTACGTATAAATAATAATAATTTTTAAACATTGCAAATCAAAAACACAACTCATTTTAATAAATTTATGAATAGGGGCACCCTGTTTTGATATTATTTGAAGAACATGGCTTGAAGGTACTGGTTTGTTGATAGTAAGTTTGCTCTTATGTTAAGTTTTAATCGCATAAAATTGTGTAAATACTTATATACAATGACCTAAAATCCTATTGTAATAAATTGTTAATCTATTTTATTAACGCTCATAGTGTTGTTGTAATATTTGATTAGTTAGAGTATTATAATGTAGAAAAAACAATGCCTAGACGAATATCGAGAAAGAAAGAGATTCTGAGAGTTATCGATCATTTTTTTTTAATATCTTTTAAATTCATTATTTCCGTTTGTTTCGAATTTATCATTTTACAATAAGCTTGTAATGCCGAATTTTCATTTTTAAAAGTTTTCACAATTACACACAAATAGTTATAACGATTGAAAACTGACTGATTAGCCTAAATGCGTTTGTAAATATAGCTAATTGTAGTCGTAGTAAATGTGGCGAATGGCAACTTATTTACAAATTTGGAAAAGCCGAATCTACTTCTAAACAAATTAAGAAATCTGAATTTATTACATCCTAATGACAATATTAAAATAGCTGATTCATTTATTGCAAATATTCATTGGCTAGTCAAGTTAAAGTGTGATAACAGAGTAATATATTTTGTCACTGTGTTATGTGACAGTAGAATAAAAAAATGAGATGAATTTAATAGTAGAGTTCTGAAAAATTCCTGTATTTTAGAGATTACAAAATGAACGAGACAATTAATACCTATTAAAATACATAGGTATCGAAAGTTCTGCAGAAATCTAAACAAAATGAAAAGAGTTTAAGCCAAAAATAGGGAGCCGTAAGCATGGGGAGGAAAATATCCTAAACGATACCTTACTTACTTACTTACTCCGTGGCGTTACAACCCTTCGTGGGTTTTAGCCGACTCGACAACATGCCTCCATTGTTTTCTCTCTTTAGCAACCTCCATCCAATTCACCACGCCCATAGTGCTTAGGTCTCCTGCTATATTGTCTCGCCACCGGAGACGAGGGCGTCCGCGTGGTCTCCTTCCAGTTGGGACTTCCTCCCACACCAGTCTTACTGTTCGTTCGTCAGAATGTCTTCTGAGGTGTCCTGCCCATTGGAGTCTTCTGGACTTTATTTCTTTTATGATGTTGGCGTCTGGGTAAAGTTCTTCAAGCTCTTTATTAGTTCTTATCCTATATTGTCCTGATGCTTCATCAAGCACCGGGCCAAAGATCTTCCTTAGGATTTTTCTTTCCCAAACACGTAGTCTCTCTTCATTTGCCTTTGTTAAACGATACCGCCTCAGTCTTAAACCAATTGTTTAAATTTTTCTACGCAAAATTTAATAGCCATCATATCGAAGAAGCAAATAACAACCTGGCAAATGAAATGATTAGGATCTATTCAACCCAAAGGAAAGACTACCTACCATTGAGGAGGTGATCTAAGCCATTAAAAAGCTTAAGAATCACATTTGCAGTGAGCTTTACAAGAATTATAAGCTGGTACAGATACTGCATAAAATTTTATATCTTATCTGGCAAAATGATACCATGCCCTATGAATGATTTTAAGGCGTGATACGTCCGTTATATAAAAAATGAGACCAGTTCCGATATGACAACTACAGAGGTATTACCCTGTTAAGAACTGCTTACAAAATGCTAGCTTATTCTCTACGAAACCTACAAGTTTAAACTTTGAGCATAATTGGAAAAAACCAGGAACATCAATAATTGGGCTGATTCATTCAGTAAGACAGATCCTCGGGAAGAAATTAGAATTTAACATTGAAACCCATTACGTATCCTCGAATGTACCAATCTATTTGTTAGTTTTGTATACCAGAAAAA